AACCCACCACGGACATCACATCACAAAAACTTGAAAACCCACCACGGACATCACATCACAAAAACTTGAAAACCCACCACGAACATTAAATCACAATTTTGAATTAGCCCAAATATGTTGATCAATAATGGCTGACTGCATAGTGTCTCCAACTAATTTATAGAATTTGAAACAGAAACATGAGAGCAAATTAAACAAGGTAAGGGGTTTAGTATTTAAGAAGTAATTATATATGATTAGAATCTAGATTTTAAAGTTTTGAAAACATATAGGAGAACAATTAATACCATTATAAAATATTTATATTAACATGCAACTCTTATGATAAAAATAACATTCAAATTGAATCAAATGAACATGATGTGGAAATTAGCATCAATAAAATTCCAAGAACATTCAAATGTTCTTTTCAATAAACAATTAAATACTTGCCTGTATTTTTCCAGCTTCTTCATCATTTTAGAAACCTTTTTTTCTCTTTTGCTATGACCACTGTATAAGTAAAATTTTTTTCTGTCATACAGGTAATATAAGGCAAATCCACAGCTATATCTTGCATAAATTACTTAACTGTAGGTAAGTAAGAAACCTAAATATCCCTTCTTTTTTTTTTTCTCATCAAAGCACTGTTTCACAAACAATTTACAAAACTTTATGTGTCACTTACTTGATGAAAATGATTTCTTGTGCATTTCTGTGAATCTTTGAGCCAATCAAAATGCGACATTAAGATTGTATTTCTGACCAGGAAGTTACAAAAATCATTAAACGGCAAGTAACTCCGCTCTGATTTTTACCACATACATGTTTAAGCTTTCAGATAGAAAAACATTATTCTCACAATTATCTTATAATCTATAAAGGCTTATACACAATAAAAAAAAAGGAACTTACAACACTAGCAAGTAAACTAATGATCATAAAGTTCAGTTGTGAATTCTTTGTTTCAGTTAGGATTTATTTACTATATATACATATATATACGTGTGAATAAATAGGTAATATAAGACAAATATATATATAAATGAATAATTGTTTGTAATTAAGCACAAAGCTTAAACAATGGCCTATCTGTGCTCTGCCCACCATGGGTATCGAAACCCGGATTCTAGCGTTGTAAATCCGCAGACATACAGCTGTGCTACTGGGGGGGGCATATACAAATAAATAGGTAATATAAGGCATATATATATATATACACACACACGAAAAAAAAAGCCCCTACAATGCTCTATTCTTTGTTTTAAGGTATATTTAGTTATACATAATTAGTTATAATTTTATATCATACAGAGATGTTGACCTCAGCCTCATACAGAGATGTTGCCCACAGTCAGCTATTCTTACCCATATAATGGAACAGTGTGATATGTATGCTTTACCACCACCTACTGTTTGACCAAGGAGAAACATTCTACTCACCCTCCTCTAGCAACAGATTCAAGGTTTCTGTGAAGATTGTATCGATCAGAATTATTTACACTGGATACAAGGTTAATCAACTGTTGTTTCGTACGAAAATATTTCTTGTTCCTATCCTGAGGAAGCTGAAGAAATTCCCAAGGCTTCTTGATATTCAGAAACACGTGATCTTCATCATGAATATTTGGAAGTGATTCACATTTTTCACACAGATCGTAATTTGGACAGTTCCTGGAAATGTGAAAAGCACAAATTAGATTTGTTCCATACTTATATAATTATATGAACTAGACAAACTTATCAAGTAAGAAATCAATATGACAGCTAAAACATTTTAATCAAAAACATGTATTGCAAGAACTCAACATATTGAAGTTTGACTGATTAGCTTTCTGTTATAAAATTCTGGTCTCAGTTGATAAGTAGTTTTAAAATCTTTGTTGGTAGTCACAGGAAACATTGTACTTGGACTCTGCTGTGGATGCTGTACTTAAATAAAGATCTCTTCCCTTTGGTTGGTCCAACTTAATGAGATCTTTGAACTAGTCCAGAATTAATGGACATCTATTTCACATTCTTCTGTTGTGTTGCTCATAAATTCTGATTGGATTATAAATGATTTCAACATCACTATGTTAAAAGTGAATGTGATTTTTCCAAGAAAAAACAGTTCAGTATTTTTTGGCTCTGTTAGATCAATCTAGCATTATTGATGCCAATGACAAAAATAGCTATAACGTTAAAATTATGTTTTAATGTTGCTACTAAACAAGTTATATTCTGTGCTCTGTACACAAAACTAATCAGCAGTTATTAAAATATGTGCTTGTTGGTCACACTATCAACTTTGAGTTATGATTGTAACTACTTCTTGATGAAAAAAAGGAAATACCAGACGAATGGTTGGAATTACAGAACAGTACATACCAGCACTTGAACCTTATTCCTTGGACCACTTTTTTACAACTATCACAGATGATTCCGACATGGACAGGGGAATCTATACATATAAAAACAATTGAAATGCAATAGTAATCAAAGATAAAGAAACACTTTTTTTGTCACAATATTTTTGTAAAAATATCTTTATCACCAATTATCAACACTTGGCCTGCAGGTCATTGGTGGTTCAAGGAAAGGTTAAATAAGTAAGGAAAGGAAGTGAAAGTATAGTGTATAGATCCCACTGTGGTCTGCCGAGATAAAAAAAAATAAAAAATTCAGGTGGCCTGCAAACAAGAGAGTTTGAGAACCACTGATCGATATAACATATATTAAGTTTTTCTTCATTACCCATTCAAGCCATCTCCAAGCATTACTGATCTATATGATTACCATTTCTGGTTACAAAATGTTCTGAGTTTAATACTTCTACTGTAAAACCTCTTTTGAAGTACTGTAAATACTCTACCAGCTATTTTTGTTTTTCAGCTTTTTTAAGAAAACAGTTTTTGATTTTAAGTGTTATATTATCTAATGCTTGCTGATACAGTTATATACGTAGGTTCAAGAAGTCTTGATACAAAATGATATAAACCCTATAACCTGAGTGCTTTCGAAAGGTGGACCTTTCTTCTTCAGGGGCAAACATTCCCAGTTTGCCCCTGAAATAAGAAAAAAGTAGACCTTGTAAAAGTGCTTGGGGTATAGGTTTTTTATCATTTTGATACAATTATATGGACTTACAATGCTAGAGCTAATCTATAATCCAAAAATGACTAAACAATTCATTGATCACAGCATTGGCAAAAGTATTAGCCTAAAACATTTTACATCACATCATAAATATATTATTACAGTACAATTTTTACAATACTTGATAAATTGTTAATGTACAAAACAACTTTATAAACCATGAGGAGGTTGGGGGCATGTACATGCACAGGTGTCTTTATTACAGGTAGAAAATTCTCAAAAAAAATTCTACCTGCTGAACAGGTTCATTGATTTTTTTTAAATTTCCTTTCATGATATCTCAAAATTAAAGGAAATAAATAAAATTTATAAAATATTTTTGGAATTCTATAAGTAGACTTTCCAGATGAATCTGACTTGTTTGCTGATTTCTAAAAGATAAAAGTTATCATGATACTATAAACAGTTCCAGACTACTGCCATGATACTCCATATCACTACTCAACACAAGTAATTTAAGGTTTATAATAAAATTAATTTTTTCAGCATTTTATGCAAGACAAATTTATGGTAAAGTTTCATTCCATACAAAACATAGAAAATTGTATTTTTAGCAAGAAACCACTTGTTCTATCATAAAGTGAGTAAATTTCAGAGTTCTGTTGAAGCTTTCTTTTACAATTTGCACAACAGTAGTTTACAGAAAATAAACTAATCATGAAAGGACAGTATAAACATATAACCAACTCTAAACTACTAGTTAATCACCTTGAGTGATTAAGATTCAATCAAACGTTATGTTTAACAATGAAGGGTATAAATTAGAATCTCTCTCTTTAGGTCTTTACCATTTGCCAAATACTATGTCTTGACGACATGCAGCCAAATTAAGCTTTGAGGCAAACATAAATACTGTGGAGAAAAATAATTTATATTTCAAAAATACTTTAAAGTCTTCAATGAGTTGAATTTTTTTTTCACACTATTAACCCCTTTTTTTTTTTATCAGGGGACAAAATATATAGAATAGGAATTTTGGCCGAATCTTTGCAAATGTAAATACTTCATTTTTATTATACTTTTACATTTTCCCTTTCTAATGGCACTAGTTATAAAACTATTTTATTGTTTCAAACTACAAATTTTATATCCCAAATATTATTTGATGTTACATCATTACAGTACCAGTCATAATTAAAAGCTTGTTTCTATTTCTGATAAATTTTTTTGCCATTAAAATTTTCAACTTTTCAAAAAATTGGTAAAATCTGGTCAATATCTGTATAAAAGACACCTATGACTATGGTGTTTTTCAGAAAATAAATAATTGAAAAAATAATAATATTCTTTATTTCAAAGGTGCTTAAAACCATAGAGCTACCAATCATTGTGGAAATACTGAATTAGATACTTGGATATTGTATTTGGATAATGTCTGATGACTGGCTTCTATTTTGAAGCTATTAAAATTACAAGTAATCTATAAACTGAATATGCCAAGAAAAACCAGAAATCAGAATAGCTCCCAAAAGATTTGCAGATTTTTAATTAAAGAGTAGTCTGTTAAAGCTTATGCTTATGCTTGGTCAACACTATTATACATCATAAAATTTTAGATAAACTTTTCTGGCAATTCAGATTTTGTCCTTTTAAATTACAATGATGGAAAAATTAACACAATATATGAATTATTTTTGCTATATTAAGAGGACATTAGAGATCTTGAACAAGATGTTACAAAACTTCGCGTTTCATTCAACAGCATCATGTTAGACATCAAACATTCCCTTATAACAATCCATATCAATACAAGATTTGGTAACGCTTTACATCCTGTCAATGGCATAAAAATGCACCTTTGGCTAAAAATACAGATCTGAAACTGTTTGGATATTCAGTTTCTAGATGCACGTAAGCACATCACTAATATGAACTACAGCAGCAGGTAATGCAATATTTAAAGACAAATTTCTAATTTTTCACCTTGAGGTCCCATAAGGTGGAGTGAACTATAGATCGCATTACTTTTTTACATCAATGCAAGACCTCTATAGCTAACTCAAAGGCAGCACAAAAAAGAAAAAAGCCAGTGTAAAATGCTACATCTCTCAAACTTACCTTTATGCTTGGTATCACTTTCACAAGATTTGTTTGACTCTTTCTGGCATTCAGGCTGCGTCATGAGCCTGACACCTGCCAGTGACTTTGTCACTTTTCTGACAACCTGCTTGGTGATTTTTGAGGTCAGCTCTTCTTGAAACTAAAAAATATAAATAATTTCCTCTTCAATGTTTTTTGCGCGTGTTACTAATATGAAAAGATGATACTTAAGGGTTTTCGAAACTTTTGAAGAGAGTAACGGAAACAAGTTTTGGACTGTTTAATGTATTCAAAATTTCTAATGAAATTTTCACTTTCTGAATAAATAACTAAAATTTTCTCACATATAAAGACTGAAAAATAAATCTTTTTAGAAGTTCAATTTTTGCTTCAAGTGGTTTTAACATAATTACATTCACAATACTGTTATACTATTTTTTTTTTATTAAAGCCTGAAATTTTAGCCTTGGATTACTTAATTTAAACACTATTCCTTTACACACTTGTGATGTAGCTAACAGTTTTTTAATGTCTGTGATGATTAATATCATTAAACATCATATGTGATATTTTTAACACTTAGTGTCAAAAGATTCTGTACACAAAAACTTCCTTACTTTCATTACTTGGTATACACAACACATGGTCATTTCACACAGCACCACGATACACAAAACGGTCACTTCACACATCCTATATGTAAACAACACATGGTCAGTTCACACACCTACATGGTACACAACACATGGACATTTCACACAGCACCACGATACACAAAACGGTCACTTTACACATCCTATATGTAAACAGCACATGGTCAGTTCACACCCCTAGATGGTACATAACACATGGTCACTTCCCATATGGTAAACAGCAGATGGTCATTTCACACACCTACATGGTACACAGCACCACGGTACACAAAACGGTCACTTCACACATCCTATATGTAAACAACACATGGTCAGTTCACACACCTAGATGGTACACAACACATGGTCACTTCCCATATGGTAAACAGCAGATGGTCAGTTCACACAGCTACATGCAACACAACACATGGTCACTTCACATGTCCAACATGGTAAACAGCAGATGGTCAGTTCACACAGCTACATGCAACACAACACATGGTCACTTCACATGTCCAACATGGTAAACAGCAGATGGTCAGTTCACACAGCTACAAGGAACACAACACATGGTCACTTCACATGTCCAACATGGTAAACAGCAGATGGTCAGTTCACACAGCTACATGGAACAACACATGGTCACTTCACATGTCCAACATGGTAAACAGCAGATGGTCAGTTCACATATATTTTCAATAACAAACATTCATTATACAATGTACTCAGGCTTACTTCAACATTAATGTACATGAAAACATTAACATACCTACCTGATTCATGTATGACACAAACCATGGTGGAGGTTCAGAGCTTGTATCTAGTTTTCCAGGTGTCTGTTCCTCCTTCAAATGCATAATGCAATGTTAATCATTTGCTTTAATTCTCTTTCATGTATATAAAATATCTTTTTTTTTAATAAAGAATAATGGATCAGAAAAGACTCAAATAAAAAACAAATGTTTCAAAGTTTTAGAATAACTACAAATGAAATTCACATACCTTACAAAACAACTGAGATAGAAAACATTCTTTGCTGGTTTTTAATTTTTTATTAACATCTCAATCATAACACAATTTTCTTTCACTTATTCACACTTTTTTCATTAGCTATCTGTCGTAAGCTGGATTATCAGTTGGTGTTTTGAATCAATGATACTTTTATGTCATCAGCATGCATCCTCTGCAGCCAATTTTATCATGTCTGGGGTTTTACCAAGTACCACTAATTTCAACTGTTAATTATATATAATTCTGCAGTTTTACCAAGTATCACTAATTTCAAGTGTTAATTATGTATATACATAATTAACACTTGAAATTAGTGATACTTGGTAACACGGCAGAATTATACATAATTAACACTTGAAATTAGTGACACTTGGTAAAACCGCAGAATTATACATAATTAACACTTGAAATTAGTGATACTTGGTAAAACCGCAGAATTATACATAATTAACACTTGAAATTAGTGGTACTTGGTAAAACCGCAGAATTAATTCTGCGGTGTTACCAAGTACCACTAATTTCAAGTGTTAATTATGTATAATTCTGCGGTTTTACCAAGTATCACTAATTTCAAGTGTTAGTTATGTATAATTCTGCGGTGTTACCAAGTACCACTAATTTCAAGTGTTAATTATGTATAATTCTGCGGTTTTACCAAGTATCACTAATTTCAAGTGTTAATTATGTATAATTCTGCGGTGTTACCAAGTATCCCTGATTTCAAGTGTTAATTATGTATTGCAACAAATGATATTGAAATAATCATATATATATATATATATTTATTTATTTAAAGGTAAAAGAATAACAGAATTTACCTTTTCAGTAATAGGAACACTCACACTGTCATCAGTTGTTTTCCCCAACATAACAGGATTGTCTTTTTCATTTAAAAATACAAACTCTTCAGCTTCAGTTTCTTGATACACCTGTGGTGGTGAAACTTTCAACCAGGAAGAATTAATCTGAGTGTTACATCTCTGAGGGTAATTAGCTTTTACATAAAGCTGTAGCTTATTTCCAGTTACAGAGGAAACCTAGGGACAAAAATATAGCCACCTTTAGTCCTATGTTGTCTGCAAGACTCAACTAAAACTCCTTCAAGTAGTTAAACAAAAAAAGATTACAATCAAAAACATAAACAAGCTTATTTATTCAGAAAAGCCTTAAAAGTCCACTAACATTTCTAAGGAATAGAAATAAAGCTTAAAATTGAGTCAAAAGACAGTAATGAAATTTCAGATTAAAATCAGTTCTTTTATTGGTGACATGCAGTACAATAAAACATTGCTTCAAACAACCAGAAACAGCTGATAAAGCTGAGTGTTTCTAGGTTATTATAAGTGGTTATTCATTTAGAATCTTTTATTCAGCTCTGTAACACTTACTGAAGTTCTTTGAAATCAGTTTTAGCCACAAGAACAGCAAATGTTTGAGAAGTTATAATCAAATATAACTGACAGAAGGGAATATCCTGATTTTAATAGTTAACATGAATTTTAGTAATTAAAAGTACTGGTAGAATTTATGGTTTTTCTTTTCAGAATAGTCTTTTGTTTCTAGATTTACAAACTAACAAAAATTATAAAATAAATGTATAAACCTTAAATGTTAGATAGAATGCACCAAGTCTGACAAGAGAAACAAAATCATTGAGTAATTGAAAAAAAGTAATAGCTTTCCTCACTGAAGCTATATTTAGTAGAACAATTTCAGAGTTATAAAACTGCAGTGGAAACAAACTTAAGATATGAGGTAAATAAATAAATACTTGAAAAAGTACATAAATATTAAATATATTTCACAATTCATGGTATAATTAAGAACAATGAGGTAAATGATAAAATATATCCTTTACGTTACTAAAACCTAAAGATAACCCATATGTAACAACCTTATAAAACCATAACTCGTTACATGTTGCTACAAGCCAAAATATCTATACTTACTCTCAGTGCTTCATGGAACTCAAGGTCACTGTCAATCATTACCTGGATGTATAGATGCAAGAAATTTGTTAGTAAGGAGCTCACATAAATAAAACAAACACAATAATTATTGAAATGTTTTACAATACACTAAAAAATATCTTATTAACATTGAATTAGAAAAACCTACAAGACAACAAACATTATCAAAAGCTCTACATCCACTCCCTTTGTTAACTATTACACAACAAACATTACCACAAGCTCCACATCTACTCCCTATGTTAACTATTACACAACAAACATTACCACAAGCTCCACATCTACTCCCTATGTTAACTATTACACAACAAACATTACCACAAGCTCCACATCTACTCCCTATGTTAACTATTACACAACAAACATTACCACAGGCTACACATCTATTCCCTGTGTTAACTATTACACAACAAACATTACCACAAGCTCCACATCTACTCCCTATGTTAACTATTACACAACAAACATTACCACAGGCTACACATCTACTCCCTATGTTAACTATTACACAACAAACATTACCACAAGCTC